TTTGTGGACGATAGCCTGTGATCGGTGCTGCGTAAATTTTCCTTCTTAGTCGGTTTCATGCACAGGTTATCACTGCTTCCCAGGATTGGGCAGGCGAGGCAGTGGTCATGGCCCTTTTCTACGTACGAACCGTCGAATAGTTGGCTTTTCTGCAAGATTTAAGCCCAGTAGTGGGTGACCGCCCACCAAAGGCACACGCCGCCACCGAAATCTCAGGCCATTCAAAAGGTTCAAGGCTTTATACTGACTCCTTTCCAACCTCGGAACTGAATTCAGCCTCTTTCTTTCTTTCGTCTTGCCTACTTCCTTCAATGACCCTATAATATTACTGCCTCCCCCCTCCCCCGCCAGCATATGCGCTATTCTCAACAACTGGAACACATTGACCCTCTCGACGAAGGCGTGCGCAGAGAACTCTTGTCAGAAAAGTTCACCGTCCTAGTGAGTCCCTGTCACCTCTTTGCCCGCTGGATTCAGTTTATTTATGCCTGAAGACATTAGCAAAAGCAGCAGCTTTGCCTTTATGCCTCGCTTAATTGCCTCCTTCCTCACGCTTACCTGCCCTCCCCCTTTCAGCCTCATTCTGACCCCTCAGAGCCAACCGTCTTTGTATTTTCTGTCCGCCGGCATTGGCCACCCAACAGCACCGACAGAGACGTTCTCAAGGGCATACTCTACCAGCTGGACGCTGCCCTCCTAGAGTGGGTTTTTGTGCTTTCATTGTGTCCCCTGCCCCTCCCCCCCCCTTCCCCCCCGAAAAAGCGGACCGCGCTGCTTCATCAGATTGCAACTGAAGTCGAACGGGGATGTTGCGCACGTTAGAGGAGGCCTTTAAGCCATGTCTGGCTTCATCTTATGAGTAGTGCTTCTCAGTCGACGACTGTTTGGTTACGCTGCCTTGAGGGGTGACAGCCCATGCAAATGCGGGGCTTTGTGTCACCCTTCTGAGCCTAAGGGTCTGTAAGCCTCTGCTATGTCAGTATCAGCAAACCATGGCCCTTGTGGCCTAGTATGCGCTGGCAGTTCTCTGACACTCAGTTCCCTGCCGGTAGATGCGCTTGCGCACCCGCTGGGTGTACAGGTCGTGAGCATGGCTGTCCGGTCATCATCCACGTCCTCTAACCCGTTGTGATGTTGCTGTCGTCGGTTAAAATCCTAGTCAGTTGTTATGTGCACCGGGGGCGAGGAATGGTACGCCTAGGTGCAGGTCCGGTCGTGTCAGGTACCTGCGCCCTCTTTCTTGTCTATGTCTTGACACCGGATTTGGATGGAGAAGAGGAGAGAGTGCGTTAGATGCAGCTCACTCCAAACTAATTCACACGCAATTCATCGTGTGTGTGGGGACTCCAGACACTGGTTCGCTATTTCCTTGTGGACCTCTTACATCGCCAGCATGGCATTAGAACCAAATCGAAATGAAATCAGTCCTGAGATGCGCGCGCGCTCCTTTTAGGCGTGGGTGTGGTGGAGCCGTTGGAGTTGATTTTTGCTCATTTAGAAACTTCATCACAGACTGCACTAGCATGGTCTTCTAATTGTGGAGGTCTAGGGGGTTCTTTACCAGTGTAAAAAAGTAGACTCGCATTACGGTGCGGTGTGGTTGGAAAGACCGACTAATTCTCGCCGCCAACTAACGTGGTTACGAAAGCTCAGAGATGGGTCATCTGACCCCAATCCGAGGGGTCGGCGGTTCGGATTCTTGGACAGCGTCTGAAGGCTACTCATAAAATCACTCCGAATATTTCCCAAGGAACTTGCCTCAACAGCCTTAAGGCAACATTATGTGTGGTTTTTCTGTGCAGGAGACCTTGTCGCCAGCGAGGGACATACAGTTCCACGACTGACTAGGCTAACAAACCCAACCAGAAACGGCCATTCCGGCCTCCCTTGCCTTTGTCGGTATCCCATTATTAACATATGCCATCAGACGCCATGCAACTGCCTACAAGGACTCTAGATTAAGCCCCCAAGACACAACGCAATGCGCATGTTCCGTAATTTGGTTGGGGATCGCCACACTGTCATAATGCCTCCTATGCTGGCATCCAGTATGCTGAGGCCAGAACGAAGTGAATACAGATGGGACTCGGTGTAGTGGTTGACGGGTCAATTCATTTTCGGCCATTGTAACTGGTGATGTCCACCGTGTAGGGTGGAAGCAGGCACGTTGACTTGCGCGTGAATTAGTTTATAGTGATAGTAGACTAGCGCAGCATCTACCGCACTCTCTTCTCCACCTGGGCCCGGTGTCAAGACATAGTCAAGAAGACCGAAGGTGGGAGAGGTCGCAGGTGACTGGCGCGGTGTGAACCCGCACCTAGACGTGCCACCACATCCACTTGTCCACAATGTACACTCACGAATGAAAGAGAATAGTGCATCCCAGGCCCTGTTTAAAAAAAGACGAAAGCACGATCACTGGAACGGTAGATTTATTTGCCATAGCTTTCGAACTCGAACTGGAGTTCATCATCAGAAACTGCCAGAGTGCAGCAACATGTGAACACGCGCACACCTGATGGTAAACTCAACACTACAGTGTACAGAAAGGCGACCAATACAACCCAGGTCCTCAACTATCATAGCAACCACCCATTGGTGCACAAACGGGGCTGTGTGAGGGCGCTTTTCGACTGGGTAAAAACGCACTGTACGGAGCCCAAAGGAAGGATGCAGGAACTACGGCATCTCCTGGACCAATTAACAAAGAACGGCTACCCAAATAGTTTTATCAGCCGCTGTATACGCACGCACCCACGCGGACAAACGGAAGAGAGACCAACAATTTGGCACTCTCTACCGTACATAAAGAATGTGTCCGGGACTCCAGAACGCATTGCGTCAGAGCTAGGCGTGGGTATCGCTCATCATCCGGCGGCCACCATGCGCAGCAGGATCATGAAAATGAAGGATCGGCTGGACGCAGGTGAACAGTCGGGCGTAGTCTATCGAATCCCGTGCCAAAACTGTCCTCGCCACTACACAGGCCAGACAGGACGACGTCTGAGCTCACGAATACTTGAGCACAAACGGGCCGTTCGGAGAGGCGACCCACTGTCTCAAGTAGCCACTCACACGCTGGAGGAAGGGCATGAGTTCGACTTCGCCAACACGCGGATATTGGCGCGAGCCGGCAAGAAGACAGGGCCAGAACTGTTGGAGGCGTGGGTGTCGGACACCAACACTATCAACAGACACGTCTGTTTGCCTGCGTGTTATCACGCGCTCCGCCCACACAGCCAGGTGGCGCAGCTCAGATCGTCGCGAAGTACAAACGGCGTCACCACGCCGGGGGACCATTGTGGGCCAGGCAGCACAAACGAGTCCTGGCCAGGGACGTACTCCCCCCCCCCTCACGGCACAACGATATAAATGTTCACACGTTGCTGCACTCTAGCAGTCTCTGATGATGAACTCCAGTTCGAGTTCGAAAGCCAAGGCCAATAAATCTGCCCTCCCAGTGATCGTGCCTTCGTCTTCTTTTAAACAACGTACACTGACCAGGAGGGCGACTTGAATCTCAGTTGGCGTGGTATGGACCTGCGACCGGGCGTGCAGCCACTCCCTAAATGTTGGCATTCGTTACGGGTGTACGCATCCGCGATAACACCTGCCGGACTCCTGCCTAGCCCCTGGGTTGACCTAGTGCCTCTACCGCGTGACCCGTTTTAGGAGTACAAGAACACACCCAATTTTTAACCTGATTCAAAAAACATTAAGGAATAGAGTCCCATACGAGATCTTACCAAATTGCTTTCGGACGTACAATATGCCTGTTAAGTAGGAACCATAACTTAATAACGAATGATTATACAATAACCGGACACTTGTGCAATCTCGGAATTGGGGGGGGGGGAGGGAGAGACTCATGAATCT